AAAAGGAAGGATCACTCTTATGAAGGTTATTTAGGAGGTTCAAGGATTTTGGTGTTGGTTGATTTCGAAATCCGCCTAGCCTTAGAATCCTTGTCCTTCCTCTAGGTTTTGTGAGTCAATGTTTACTCCCTTTGCAAAGTTTTGACGCAACTTCCAGCCAAGAATCCACGGATAAAAACAGAAAATGAACAATTAAAAGAAGGCTAAACCAAATGGAATAAGATGTGACATATACAAAGAATTCCAATTAAGACTAAAAGACTAAAAAAAATCAAGACACACCTACAAGGATGGCACACAAAAGAAAGATCCTATATTAGCTCTAGGTTGGATTAACAAAACCAAAATTAAACAAGAAAAAGAAATAAAAGAGGATTCAAAACAATACAATCCGGTTCACTTGAAGTGGCACAAAAACAATGTATTAAGTTCCTCCTTTGGCTTTTTCTACTTTGATCTTTTTTCTTATATATATATAATCTTTCTTTTCAATTCTTTTCTTGAATCACTTAAGGAGTTTCTTGCCTTTTTCCAGATAATTTTCCAGTCACTAATTCAAGGAAACAAATCCGGATTAGTACAAAAAATTTCAGCTAAAAGTAGTTCAACTTTTGTAGCAATTTTGGTGCACTCTCTAAGTCACTTTTTGCTTGTTTCAAATCAACACTTCTTCAAATGTTGTTTTAACACCTTTGGTTCTATTTTCCTCTGTTTTTTAAGTACTTTTTTTTCTTCAGATTTATAAGTTTGAAATCATGCACCAAAACATAACTACTACAATTAGCCAAAATTTCTAGGAAATGGATCACAATTTTTTTTTAAAAAAAAGTCTTGGAAACAAATTCAAGACAAAAATGAAACACAATAGAAACCTAACTCTAAGAATCCACCATTGAACTAGTGATGGATATGAACTCAAAGTAGCAAAATGAAAAGTACATAAGCAAGGCACACAACAACAGAGCTCTCGACCAAAGCAAATCAAGTAGAATTGAATCAAAACATTATAGGTTTAACTAAGTATATCTTGAGTTTATGACATTCAAAATGAACTACACATGAATCTAGACAATTAAAAGATCCAAAAAATGGAAAAACACATGCAAGACTCAAAGGATGACCGAATCAAATCAATGAATAAGACTCAAATAAAAGCAAAAACCATACAAGTAGAAGCCTAGACACCTTAGTGATTGCGGATTGAACACAAATTACAATCACTCAATTGGATCTATCAAATTTTGAGCAAAAGAATTAGATCCAAACAGAAAAACCAATATGAGACAATCAAGAACACAAATCACAAAATTCAAAAGGTGAAAATGAGCACATAACCTCAAAGAAGAACCTAAGCTCTTGATACAAAAAATGATGGCAATTCCAAGTGAAGAGGATTGATGTTCTTCACTCCTTAAATTGCATGACTTCTTGATCACTTCCTTGAGGAGGTTAGATGAAGATCCAACCACGAAGATGAAGATGAAGATGAAACAAGAAAGGAACTGGAAGCACCAATGCCGACTGAGTAAAGGATTACTCACAAAAGTATACCTAGTTCCTATAAGAGTTCTAAGAACTATTTGGCCAAATGACTTTGAGAGGAGAGAAAGCTGAAGCAATTTTTAGAATAATTCTCTATCATGTCCAAAGTGACTACAAAATGAGTGAAGTATGCAATATACAGGACCAGATCGAGCTAGCTAGTGGCCCCAACTTAAGCAAGCAATTTAGGCACCAAGATTTAAATTTGAAATGCTATTTGAAATTCAAATTTTGGATCACCCATGTGCTAATTCATGAGTGATGCTTCTAGCCCTAATCTAGGTTTAATTTAGAGTGTATTTGGATTGAATTTGGGTGCACATGTTCAGCACCAACAATGCGTAAACCATGTGAACCAAATACAAGTGAAATGACTCCTAAATTAAACTTAGATTAAGCCTAATAGTCCTATTATTGAATTCCTTTTATATTCCTAATCTAATGGCCTAAATACAATGGGCGATCAAATACATTGGAAAGAAAAAATTAAAAGGATTAAAATGAACCCAATATTGGGTACCAAAAACCCACAGGCCCATGGAGCCCAAAACTAGGCCCAATAAGCCTAAAGCCCAAAATACCTATACTAGTGGCCCATAATACAAGACCAAACAATATGAAATTCTACACTACCAAGAATACAATAAAAGGTGGTCATTCATGCAAAGCCCATGTGAAGAGTACCCTAGGCCCACCAAGCCCATTGGGCCCACTAAGCTCTGAAGCAGTCAAATCTGAAAGTAGCCTCCTTGCCAAAGCTCTAGTGGTTGGACCTTTGGTCCATGCTCCTCCATCAATTTACTTTATTTTAATGAATACTAATATTATTTATTATTATTATTGTTATTATTATTGATGAAAAAATGAGATATTTTTTTTTGGCTCAATAGGAGTGATTTCCTGTTCCTATGTATCTCTATGTGTTTAGACATGGATTTGTCACAATTTTTCCTAAAAATTTAGACATGAAAGAGCATTACGTCTAATTAATCTTTTTATTAAGAAATTTCACTATAATCTTGTTATTATCGGTTGAATTATAAACAGTTATATTTTATTTATAAGAGTTTTAGAACTATCAAGTTGTCTTAACTTATGTTTTAAAGATTTTAAAAGCCAAAAAAATGTTACATCTAATTAATTTTTTTATTGAGTAATATTTATAATTAGTCAGGAAAACTAATTAATTTCAATTATTTCCTTAAAATTATAAATATCTCTATCTTGATTACTATAATTATTTATTATCATTTTATAATCATTTATCTGAATATACTACTAAATCTGCCAAAATAAAATAGATAAAGAATGGGAGAATTAAAACATAACCAAAAGCACTCATGCTAGGTGTGATTCGAGTGTGGTCTAAGGAGTGTATTTTTCATTTTATTATTATACACATACATGATAAGATGAAAGTAGAATAAAGAAATTATAGATGGTAATAGAAAGACACTAGACCGTTCATCTAGTAAAACCAATGCATGCGCAAATAAAAGAGATACGACTAACAAACCTTTACAAATCAAAAGCAATTTATCAAAGCTCAACTCTGAAACATAATATCACAAGTAAAATAAAATCGAACAACAACAAAGGAAATGAGCATAATAAATTAATATTTAGAAGTGAAAAGAGAAGAAAAAAAAAAACCTTGCGTTGTGACTAGGGGTGGGTATGCGGACCGGTCCGGCCCGTTTCCATTGGCAAGTCTTTCAAGAAACTTCTTTGAGAATTCATATTACTAAAGTTTTAGTTGAAATAAAGATCCTTAAAACTCTGATAAATTTTTTAAGTGTCATAGAATCCAATTCACCCCAATCTTGGATTGAGCCATTCTTTTCTATCAGTGATTCCCTAACCTTTGGCTCTCTTATGACTCTTCTAGGGGTAGGTTGATAGTATTCATCTATATTCAAACTTCCTATCTCCTCTTGGTTTGTGGAACTTTGGGAACCTTTGCTACTTTTCTTTTTTCGTTTTAGCTTAGCTAAAAGTTTTTCTTCTCGTTGCTTAACCTTTTGTATCTCTTCTTCGAGAATAGCAAGTTGTACTTCCCTTTCTATTCTTTCTTTTTCTTTGGCAAGTACCTCTTGTTTCCTCCAAAGTTTTAGTGATTACAACTCTTTAACAAGGTGAGAAAAACTTTTTGGTGAGTCCAAATCACTACCACTTGGAGAATGGTTACTCATGGTTAAGTTTTCAAGAAATCTTTTTATATGCAATGCAAAAAGAAAATATTTTTGGATTTTCTAGGAAAGAAACTAGCACTTGGAGGTCTAAGTATACAAATCGCACTATCAATGGAGGTGAGCTATACTAGGAGCCACTTAATAACCAAGTCTTTTCAAGTGAAAATTACTAAACCCCCTTGTGGTAGCTTCAATTCCGCAAAACTTTTCACAAAAAATTTGATATTTAATGATTTTCAAAGATTTTCTTGACTTCTATCTAAACGTGAGCAATTAAAATTCTACACAATCTAGTCGAATTTTCAAGAGTAAAGAAAGCAAAGTGTAGGTGTAAGAATCCAAGAAGCAACTCATCTTAGAGACGGATTTAGTGACCAATTTTGGTTACTGGAAAATCTATCACAAAGCAAATCCGTCTCTAAATCAGTTGTAATTTTCGTCAGAAAAATATGTTTTTAGGCTAGTTTATTTTCCTTGCAATTTTCGTTGATTTTAATCAATTGTAATAGCTTGGAGGGAATATTAAGAAGTTAGTCAAGAATATCTAAATCTTTATAGATCAGTCATGTGTAGATTTAGTGGATGTGGCTTGAAAATTTTATATGATTTCAAGCTTCCACTTAGGAAACCGACCAACTTGTTAAGCTTTGTTCTTTGCTACTGTTTAGTTTTCTTTTGCTTTCTTTACTCTTGAAAATTCGACTAGATTGTGTAGAATTTTAATTGCTCATGTTTAGATAGAAGTCAAGAAAATCTTTGAAAATCATTAAATATCAAATTTTTTGTGAAAAGTTTTGCGGAATTGAAGCTACCACAAGGGGGTTTAGTAATTTTCACTTGAAAAGACTTGGTTATTAAGTGGCTCCTAGTATAGCTCACCTCCATTGATAGTGCAATTTGTATTTTAGTTGAAATAAAGATCCTTAAAACTCTGATAAATTTTTTAAGTGTCATAGAATCCAATTCACCCCAATCTTGGATTGAGCCATTCTTTTCTATCAGTGATTCCCTAACCTTTGGCTCTCTTATGACTCTTCTAGGGGTAGGTTGATAGTATTCATCTATATTCAAACTTCCTATCTCCTCTTGGTTTGTGGAACTTTGGGAACCTTTGCTACTTTTCTTTTTTCGTTTTAGCTTAGCTAAAAGTTTTTCTTCTCGTTGCTTAACCTTTTGTATCTCTTCTTCGAGAATAGCAAGTTCAACTTTCAACCCTTCTTGAACTATAAGATTTAAAATATGAGCAACACATCGAATATGAAAAAATTAACCACCACACAATAAACTATCATTTTGCAAAAGAAGTCTTTCCTTCAAATAATCTTGCATTTTGTCATTGGAAGAAGCATTATCCAAAGTTAATGAAAATATTTTTGTCTCAATCCCCCAATCTTCCAAGAAACCATATATGATTTTAGCCATTTCACGCCCAGAATGTGGAGGAGGAAAATGAGAGAAATTAAGCATTTTGCTATGCGATTTCCAATTTTGATCAACATAGTGTGCAGTCAATGAAATATAACCCTCTGTAGTACAAGAAGTCCACACATCTGAAGTCAAGTTTATTCTGCCAGGAAGTTTAGACAACACTAGTTTCAATTTTTCTTTTTCACACTCATACATTTTGTTTATATTTGAAGTGGCCACACGCCTAGATGGTATCTTAGCATCAGGATGCAAATATTGTATCAACTCTCTAAACCTCTTACGTTCTACAAAAGAGTATGGGAGATCATGTTCTATTATCATCATAGATATCATGTCATTTAACACATTTTGATCAATTATTCTACTCCTTATTTTTCCAGAATGATCAAGAACTAGTTTCCCAACATCGGAATCAACAAATGTTTTTGGTCTATTCTCACATCTTTTCATGTGACAAATTAAAGTTGAAGTGCCACTAAGACTCCCACCACCCACAAGGTCTTTCTTACAATACTTGCATTTAGCCCTTATTTTCCCATCAGGATGTTTAATAGGTTTTTCAAAGTAACTCCACACAGAAGATGAAAGACTCCTACACCTTTTAACTGGCATTTTAGACTCACCAAGTTCATCTTCTTCATTATCTGAAATGTTATTCTGCTCTACATCATCATTAACCTCAACACCTTCATCTAACAAATTCTCAAAAGATTCCATAGTGCAATTAAGGCTGAAATTATTAAACCAAAATTTTCTTATTATGCTGAAATAATTAAAATCATACAACTAAATCATAATGAGTACCAACAACGTAAGATGAACTAATGAAGTCAAGTTTCGATCTCATAAATTAAATCAATCATATATACCGAGTCAACACCCTCTAACTGAATGCCAGTAGACCGAATAAACCGTCTAACTTTAGGATCTACAAACTGAATGTTCCTTCCACAGCCAAGAATCAAAATCTCTAGCAAAGAATAAATCAAAGTGGCATTTAATATATAAGATTAAAAGCAATTGGATAAGTAAGCATAGCATTCAATTTAGTAACATAATAAAAAAAAGGAAATGCCTAGAAATTAACACAGTAATTAACTATACAGGGAACAATATATCAAAGAGATCAACTGAGAGAAAAAGAGAAAGAACAGTAGAAAAGATAATTAGATAATAAGTAGCAAGAAAAATGATATTACTTCACTTAATTTGCATAATTGTAATAGTGGGATATGTATCTGCTTTAAGGTCCTAACTAAACACTTCAACAACTACAAGTGCATGTACAATTGTATAGCATAACAGGGACCACCAGTCTTCAATATATCAACCACTTCCAAAGTGAATTAGAAAGTAACATGAATTTGGTAATACTACATCCATAGAATAATCGATCATGAACTATCCCTGCCTAATGCCAAATAGGAGAGATAAAAGGAAAACTAGAACTGTACCAAAAAATAGGGGAAAAAATAGAAAGTCAAGGAGAAAAAAGAATGTCAAAACTAAAAAACCAACCTGGAATAGGGCGAACAATTTGGAAGAGTGACAAGCTGCAACAAGGAACAAGATGACAATAAGATAAAGCAAGACTAATTAATGCCTATTCTCCTAAATGTGCAAGTGTGCAACAGCCAACAACCAACAAGAACCAGAACGGGAAGCAGCATAACGCTTCCAGCCACGAACCAGAATGCTTCCGGCCACGAACCAGAACGGGAAGCAACACGACTGCACGAGAATGCTTCCAGCCACGAACCAGAACGGGAAGCACCACGACTACACGAGAACGAAAGATTAGAGTGAGGCCGTGCGGTGCAGATAATAGAAGAAAAAAAGGATTATGAAGGGGCGGTGGAAAAGTGAAAACACACGGCACTGAAGGGAGGCAACAGAGATGAAAGGAATTAATTTATGAGTTAGGGTTTTTATTTTTTAAGTTCCACATTTAAACGGGTAGTCCGTGGGCTCGCAGATTAAATTTGCAAAATCCACAGACTTAACGGGCCGAACCTAAAAAGTCCATATGATTATACGGATTAAAAAAATTGGGTCCGTTATCTGTGAAGTCCGTAGACTTACGGATCGGTCCGCGGACTCGAGTCCATATACCCACCCCTAGTTGTGACATGGTCATTATACCTTGCACACGCGCAACACCTTAGTTCAGTGTCATGTATTTAGTGTTGGTGCTTTTTGTCATATGGCTCAGTACACAACTGGCTGGAAGGTTATACTATACTATGTGAAGCACGTTCTAGACTTTGGTGCAGGGATGTGCTTACATGATTTATTTAAGTCGAGTTTGTGAGGGCAAAAACACAAGGTTTTCATTCAGCAAGAGGAAAGAGCGGATTTGGAATGGCTGGTTCTAAATAGTTGGTACATTACCAAGGCTTTAGGGAAGCTGGAAAATTCTTAGAATATGCATGATTTGTGACTTGAGGTGTTAGGGAGAATATAGGAAGGGAAAGAAAGATTGAGCCTCCCCTCCCATTTGGTGTGCACGTATGGTACTTAGGTGTGAGTGTCATGAATGTGAGGGAGAGAGTCATGTGTCCCCCCCCCTTTTTTTTTTTTTTTTTTCCCTCCGTGTGTCCCTTCCTTTAGAGTGTGAATCTGAGAGTATTTTTTTTTTTTGTTTTAAATGTCAAATTAATCATGATGAAGGGACAACATTCCAATTTTTTTCCTAAAACATTTATGACCTAAAGATTTAGGCATGCATGTTAGAAGATATTGGTCGCACAAAATCTGGAAAAAAATCTACACACTCACATTTTTTTTCTAATTTTCAATTTTATAATTTTATACTTAAGTTTTCATTTTTTGACATTTTATTTTACATATTTTTTTACTTAATTTTTGATATATTTTCGGACAAAATTGGGTTACTACAGTTCTCCCTCTTTAATTGATTTTACCAAATAATATGAACAACTCATGTTTTCATATTATTGTAGTAAAATATAAGTAAAGAAAACTCCAATCTCGTTCAGGAATTAAAATATAAGTAAAGACAATGTGCATGAGGTTCCAAAAGATAAAAGTTGTGGGTGTGGAGACCCAATGTAGGAGCATTGGACGTAGAAACCCAGATTGTAAAAAATATTGGACATAAAGACCAAAATTATAAAAAATAATGGGCATGGGGACTTGAAAGTTAAAAGTTATAGATGCGAAGACCTATAATGTAAAATACGATGGGCATGAGGACTTAATATGTAAAATGTAATGGTCATGGGGTCCTGAGATTTAAACAAAGTGAGCATATGGACTCAATATGTAAAATACAATGGGCACGGGGACAAATAATATAAAGAGTGAGTGCGGGGACACAATATGTAAAATGAGTGAACACGAGTACTCAAAATGTAAAAAACGTGAGTACAAGAAGTCAAGATTTGATAAATAATGGGCATGGGGACCCAATATGTAAAATGAGTGAGCATGAGGACTCACGATGTAAAATATGATGGACATGAGGATCTGTTATGTAAAAAGTGAGTGTTGGGATTCAAAATATAAAATTTCTTATTTTCAAAAACGGTTTATACACTTGATAAATCACCTTGTTGATCTTGGCAGGAAATTTGAAGAAGAAGAACTAAATTTGAAGGTTCTGCAAAGCTTGGATAGATCTTGGCAAGCAAAGGATACTGCAATAGAAGAATCAAAGGACTTAACTTCATTAACCCTTTCAACTCTCTTTGGAAAACGAAGAGAGCATGAGCAAAAGTTGTACATTTTTGAAGAAAATGAACAAGATAAAAAGGGAAAATGAGTGTCTGTAAAAGCCTTAAAATTATTCAAAGGAAAAGAAAAATGTGAAAACTCAAGCTCCGAAGATTCTGATTCAGAGAACTTCAACTTGCTGGTGAAGATGTTTCAGAAAATTCCTAAGAAAGAAAAGGAGTTCCCCCTACAAGTTCAACAAGAAGGCCAATAAGAAAGATGAAGGGAGCACATCTTCTTACAATTGTTTTGAATGTGGAAAACCAGGCCATATAAAAGTTGAATGCCCCAACCTTCTAAAGAAGCAACAAGAGGAAAAGAAAGGGAAGAAAAACTACAAAGGAAAAAGAGCCTACATAGCTTGGGAAGACAATGACTCAAGCACAACAAGTGATGAATTTGAATTTGAGGAAAAAAACTTATGTTTGATGGCTGGAGCTGATCAAGATACAATAGAATGCTTGAGAGCCAAAAGCTTACTATGATATCTTGATAGTGGCTGCTCAAGACATATGAATGGAGATCCTTCAAAATTTTCAAGTCTGAAATTAAAGAATGAAGGATTTGTTACATATGGTGACAATAACAAAGGGAAGATTCTTGGTTGTGGAAATATTGGTAACTTTACTTCCTTAACATTGATTGAAAATGTATTGCTTGTTGAAGGGCTGAAATATAACTTTCTTAGTATAAGCCAACTTAGTGACAGAGGATTTAAAATTGAATTTGATAATACTTGTTGTTTAATCTGTGATAAATTGACAAAAGAAATTAGATTCATTGGAAAAAGAATTGACAACATTTACATGCTAGACTTAGAACATTCAATCACAATTTCTAACACCAAGTGTTTGATAACTAAAGAAGATAATATTTGGCTTTGGCATAGAAGAGCTGCAAACAATTTCTAACACAAAGTGTTTGATAAATAAAGAAGATAATATTTGGCTTTGGCATAGAAGAGCTGCACATATACACATGGATCATTTAAAAAAATTAAGTATAAAGGAGTTAGTAATTGGATTACCTAAACTCAATCTCAGCAAGGACAAACTATGTGATGCTTGTCAAAAAGACAAGAAAGTGAAGGCTAGCTTTAAAAGCAAAAATCTGAGCTCAACTTCTAGACCTTTACAATTAATTCACATGGATTTGTTTGGTCCTTCAAGAACCATGAGTCTAGGAGGGAATTACTATAGGCTAGTTATGGTAGATGATTATTCAAGATTCACATGGGTCATGTTTCTTGCAAATAAGAGTGAAGCTTTCAATACTTTTAAGAAATTTGCTAAGCATGTTCAAAATGAGAAAAATACAAATATTACCTCAATTAGAAGTGATCATGGAGGTGAATTCCAAAATGTTTTGTTCCAAAAATTCTGTGAGGAGCATGGCATTGATCATAATTTTTCAGCACCTAGGACACCTCAACAAAATGGGGTTGTGGAAAGGAGAAATAGGACTCCTGAGGAATTAGCTAGAACTATGTTGAATGAGACTAAACTACCTAAATAATTTTGGGCTGATGTAATTAACACAACATTACATGTGTTAAATAAGGTTCTAATTATTCCTATTCTAAAAAGAACACCTTATGAGATTTATAAACGAAGGAAGCCTAGTATTTCATATTTTAGAGTATTTGGTTGTAAATGTTTTGTGCTGAATAATGGTAAGAAACTACTTGGAAAATTTGATGCTAAAGCTAATGAAGCAATTTTCTTGGGTTACTCTACAAATAGAAAAGCCTATAGGGTATATAATAAGAGAACTCTAGTAGTTGAAGAATCAGTACATGTTGTGTTTGATGAGACCAACCAACAAGAAACAAAGCAAACTAAAATAGAGGACTTAATTGATTTGCTTGATCAACCTCTCCTAGAAAATGAACAAAGTGAAATGCCTAAAGAGAGTGAATCAAATGAAACCATTGAAAAGACAAGTGAAAAATTGCCTAAGGAATGGAAAACTTATAAGGATTT